ACCAGCTCTGGCCCAGCTTAAACCAGGACACTTTCCCTGCCAGAGCGGGGCTGTGGGAGCTCCATGGTTTGGAAGTGTTGAGGGACACACGGTGCTGAGCATGAGCTGCTCCCGCTGCAGCTGGCTGGAAACTCTTTGCAGATCTCACCCTGTCTCTGACTTTAGTCTGGGAAGAGCTGCAGAAGATTTTTCCCTCTGAGGGAAGAGTGAAAAGTTTTCCCTTGGCTCCGGCTGTCACAGGGAGGAGGCACTTTGATGCTGGAGATGTTCTGTGAACTCACTGGTGTGGGTGAGCAGGGGATAGTTCAACACCAAAACACTCTCGTGGCTGATGACAGCCCCTTACAAAGCATTTCTGTGCCTTTCCACTCGCTCTGGATGTCTCTGGAGTGGGGAAGGAGCAGGACTGACAGCAATAAAATGGCTTAAGGGGATTGTGGAGGAGATGGGAAGCGCTGGTTGTGGGGTTCAGATGCCGCGTTACAGGGTCCTGTGTGGCTGTAGAAGGTGACACGGGGGAAATAACCAACCTGTCACGCTCCTGTGAAACAAAATCACCCCAAAATAAAAGCTGTTGACTTGGAGGAACCTGTGTCTGGACGAGCTGGTGGGCTGAGTCCCCTCACTGGGGCAGAAATTGGTGACAATGGTGTCGAGACAAAATAAATCCAAGTCATTTAGTGCTGGTGGGTGAGGTGGGGCTGTGATTATCCTGGCTTGGCTGAGAAGGGAAGGAATTGGGGGAGTAAGGATTGAGGTGAGGTCACTACCATCCTCTTAACCTTTTTCTTTCATTCTCCAGCGGTTAAAATCAAGAAGAACAAGGACAATGTGAAATTTAAAGTGCGTTGCAGCCGATACCTGTACACTTTTTAAAGTGGTTTCCAGCCGATACCTGTACACTTTGGTCATCACTGACAAGGAGAAGGCTGAGAAGCTGAAGCAATCTCTACCCCCAGGTATGATTTGATGTCTGAAGAGAAATTGAGTGGGTAACCTAAAAGTTCTCATTGTCCCATCACGTTTGTCACCTTTCTTCTGGATCACTGATGTGTTGGTTGTGACTGTGACCTTTGTAGACCCAACAATCTCCCTCTACTCATTGTCCTGCACGTCCGGACGGGGGACCAGC